GAGAAGCTGCAGGAGGATTCCAGGGAAGATAGAGCAGTTGCAGGTCCGGCTGGTGCCCCACGCCAATGAGGTGAGCCAGCAGCTAAGAGATAATTTATGTGAGCTACAAAAGAGCCTGTTCCCATCTTCTGAAATAAAAAACAAAATGGCTGCTGTTTCACTTCAGCCATCAAAATCTTCCCGATGACTATCTCTTCTGGCCCACCCTTAAAGGGAAGCACACAGAGAAGGAAAGTCTGAGAAACATACTTCAGCCTAGCCAATTGACAACACTACAAAGCCACCACACTCACTTAGTCAGAAGTGGCTTCTGCCTGAAACAGTTCATTAACAACCTCCTAATGCTAATTCCACTCATCCTTCCACAGTCCTCCTTGTCCTCAGCTTCTACCATATTTGATACTAGGGATCATCTTTTCCTTTAGGAAAGCACCTCCCCATTTCCTTTGATCAAATTACACTCTCCTGGCTTCTCTCCCTCCCCTTGCATCATATGGGATATGGTTCCTTTTTCTCTTCCCATCCCTAAATGTAGATATTCACCACTATTCTGTGTTTTCTCTCTCTTCTTCCCCTACATTTCATTCACCCTATCATTTTTATAGTTTTAAGTAGTAGTCTCTCTCTGCCTCCAGGGACCTCCCCTTGGACATAATGAATAGGGCTTGGGGCATTGGATTCAAACAGCCCTGGATCCAAATCCCAGTGATACCACTTATTGCTGCATGACCTTGGACAAATTAAACTTTCTGAGTTTCAGTTTCTGTCTTAGTAAAATAAGATAAACAATGCCCAGCTATAATATACATGGAGGGAATGGAGCACCCCTCTGGGACATAATATTACCCAATGACTGTTAGGTCCCTTGCATTTCTTCCCTTTGCTTCCCCATTCTGTCCTCCAGACTGCTACTAGAGTCATTTTCACGCTAGATGTTACATTCCTGCCTAAAACTAGAGTGACTAACTCATCCAGGTTATAAAACTGAAAGTTCCTCATCCAGGGACTCCCCCTCAGTCCTGGGCAAACCTAGAAATCTCCAGTGGCTCCACTTTGCCTACTATAATTATAACACTATGTTAATCAAACCTCTAGGGTACTGTGAGGATGTTTCAGTGGCTTCTGTAAATGAATGTATTGGAATTCTACAAAATGTCCATTTTTTAGAAGAAGTGTTCTACCAAAAACCCCAGGCCTAGAGGAATGGGTTTAAACGTCATTGCGTGGCATCCAAGGCCTTGGCTGCTCTCCAGCCTTGCTTCCCATTGCTCTCCCCTTTTTACTCTGTACTCCACTCACATGGCTTCTTATATTCCCCAGGTACACCATTCTATTTCACATCTCTATGTCTTTAATATTCCATTCCCTCTGACCAACATGTCCCTCCCCACCTTGTCATTAGTGCAAACTCCTACTTCTCCTTCAATACCCAGCTCTAGCAACACTTAATGTTCCTCAAGATTGCCTTTGCCCTTCTGCCTTCTTAGCTCCTCACCCAAGATAATCATTCCCTGCATTGTGACACTGTAGTTTGAAATTATCTCTTTTATCACCCTTAGAACAATGAGTTACAATTTGGGGTCTCTGTCTGTCTCTCTTTGTAGACTATAAATTCCTAGAAACGAATTTTGCCTTTCCTGTGAGGGTTCAGGCAATTTGCCTAAGTCTGTTTCCCCATCTTTCAAGTTATGTATGATGATTATATTATACAGCATATGCAAAAAAAAAAATCTGGTACCTTGTAGAAATTCAATGATTTTTTTCAAGTACTGTTAAAATCAGGAACTTCCACCGTCTGGACCTAACCTGTATTTCCAACTTATTTCTCACTATTACTCATCATCATCAAGTAGTCCAGTCAGAAGCTTCCTTTATTGTTCTCTTCACTTCTCCAAGGTCCAATGAAAAGAAAAATGCTAAAAGGAGGAAGGAGAAGGAGAAGGAGAAGGAGAAGAAGAAGAAGAAGAAGAAAGAACTCAATTTCCTCTTCTGTGATAGTAAAAGCATAAATTTCCTTTGAAATTATATCTTCTGTGTTTACAGCATAACACTACATATTGTGGCCTTTTAGAATAGTGCTGTTCAAAGACTGTAAAGCTGTGTTGCACTTCTGCAACCACACACATATACAGTCACGCATCGCTTAATGACAGGGATACGTTCTGGGAAATGTGTCATTAGGCAACTTCGTCGTTGTGTGCACATGATAGAGTGTACTTACACAAACCTAGATGGTATAGCCTACTGCATGCCTAGGCTATATGGTACTGATTTTATGGGACCACCATCATATATGCGGTCCATTGTTAACCGAAACATCATTATGTGGCTCATGACTGTATGTGATACTTCTTAGAATTTTTATTTTAAGCCAAAGAAAACACTGTAGTCTCTTGAGCTTTGTCACAGTACTTCTTCATGGCCAACCCAAAATTCCTTGTGATTCTCAGGAAACATAATATTTCATATAGAGGTGAGAAAATTATGGGTAGCACAGGTTAACTAAATTATGCAAAGGCATATATTGAGATAACGGCACAATGAAGACAGGAATTCAGGGCTTTCTCCACTGTTCTCAACCAGGGGGGGGAAAGCCTAGGCAGCTCCGGACAACCTAGCTTACTACTCCTATCTCTGTTCAGGGTTGAATTTTTATTAGGGTGGACACCAGTACTGCTAATCCAGGGAAGGGAGCAGGGAGCTGGAACCAGAAACAAGTAGGGAAGAGATCAAGAGGGAAAAGAGCGAGAGAAAATAAAGGCATGCTGACTAATTTTCCCCTCTCCTGGCTTCGCCAGTGGCAAACTCCAGCTCACTCCCTGTGTGCTCTGGCAGAGAAGCAGCACATTCCATTTCCTTAAGTCCCTGCTAGAGCAGCATGTGTTATTGAATTGCAGAAAACAAAGTAGGGGTAGGAGTGAGAGTCATAAAAGGGATTTTTTTTCCTTTCTTTTCAGAAATGGTAAGAGGAGGGAAATAAATAGCACACATCAATATGGAGAACCTAGATTAGTCAGGAGAGCTAAGATCTAGTCCCATCCAACCACACAGTACAAATGGTTCAAGGTCTTTGGACTTCCATTTCCTCATCTGAACCAGCAGAGGATTGTGTTGGTTCTAAATTTCTATGGTTTTGTATAAAGATACCTTGAGGAGGTAATGACTGTTTTCATGGAAATAAAGGAGGAGATAAGAAACTAACATTTAGCAACATCCATCTCGTGCCAGATAAATGGGACTAGGGTTTCAAAAGCATAGTCTTGAAACCCAAAAAGCCTAGGTTTGTGTATGTGTTCTGCCATCTACTAGCTGTGTTACATTGGGCAACTTACCTAACCTCTCTGTGCCTCCATGTCCTCAGCAGTAAAACAAGGACAATAATACCTACCCCAAAGGGTGGCTGGAATTAAATATATATAAATTTATATAGACATATATATATATAATCATATATTTTATATATGTGTATATGACAGTAGTATCATATATAGAAAACAGTAACTAGCATAAAGTAATTGCTGTATAAATGCTATTATAACAATTATTACAACTCTGTAAAGTGGCATCCCCTTTTTGTAGATGAAAAACAAAATGGATGAGAAAACCAAGACCTCAGAGCTTTGAGCTTTTCTGACTTCCATGTTTAGTCTCTTAACTATTACCCTATATCAGTTAAAAGGAGTGAAAGTCACAGCATTTTGTAGGCAGCTAGGGAAATTCTACCAGTTACATAACCATCAGTCAATCAAAATCTTTCAATGAATACAGAAAAAGTCATATGTCACAAAAGTCCTCCAACCCCTAGCACAACTTTTGGAAGAGTAATAATAGCTAATTTGCCTAGGTAAAGAAATGCCCCAAAAGGATTACTCTTGTGTTGGGCTTGAAGTCCAATGAAATGACCGACATCTAGTCTAAAGGTTCTCAGAGATGCAAACTGCCTACTTGAAATTCCAGGGAATTTAAATCTCTTCATGGGGGAGTCCGTCTCTGGACAGGAGGAAGTGTCTTCTTTGAAGACGGAATTGGTAGACATTTTGTGGAGGGAGGGGTGGGCCGTAGGTAAGGTTTTGGTCAGAGCGGAGGGGAGCACCATGTGGACGACTTCAGATGAGAAAATACAGACTGTAAGAATTACAAGATTAGTCTATTTCTCTCTTTTTAGGGGGATAAAATTCAAGGAACTGCGAAGATTCCATTACACTCAGCATCTCTCACATGATGAGAAGAGGAACCCTAAAATAAATCGGTTGTTACTGAGAGATCACAAGAGAAAAAGAACACAGGCTAAGTCTTGAAAAACTACAAGGTATGAAAGAAGAATCCAGAAAATAGTGAACTGGGGTTACAGATGTATTTGAATTTAACTTACCTGTTCAACAAATATTTATTCCTTGTTACTTTTTGCCAAGTACTATTCCAAAAGCTGGTTATACAGTTCTGATCAGACAGATACGACCCTTAGGGGATTTAGAAAGCTAGTGAGAGTAAAAGAGAATATAGAAGAAAAGAAATCTATATAACTATAAGTTATAGTGGCACTATAACAGTAAAAGAGAATGCCATATGAAAAGATAACAGGATGTAAAGAATCTACTTTTGACCAAGTGTTCAGGAAGGCTTCTCTGAGGAGGTGATATGTAAGGAGAGGCTTGACCAGTGAGTAGGAGGAGCTGGGAAAGGGAGAAGCATTTTAAGCACATGAAACAATAGGTGTGAACATCCTAAATAAGAGTTGATCTAACCATCAAAAGGCAGATCCAGATTACTTGACCTCCAGTATAGCATATACCATTTTTCTTTCCACAATAATTACTTAAGATTTTTAAATGTCACAAAAACGAATTCAACTGATGGATTCACCTTTTTACAAACATTTCAAAGTTTATCTTAGCCCAAACCTGAGTGTTTCACAGATTACTCACTAGACAAAGCCAGCCCTTCCCCTCTTGAGTATAAAAATAGCTTTTTCAGATCTACTGTTATAATTGGCTTTTTTCCAGGGCTTTGTGCTCTCCTGAAACTAGACACTTAAATGAGCAATTTAACTCTGGTTTTTAACCTAGGAGAAATGACAACATTTTTGGTTCTGCTTTGAGATTTAGGGGTGAATTTTAAATCGTTAATTTATAATTAATCCCTTGTAACACCATAAAAGCAGAACATCTGTGATCCTCTTTCAGTAAAATAGCCCTGTACCATGCACATGAGTAAAACAAATAAAATGTACTGGAAACAAGGTATTGAGGATGGTTCCTAGTAAAGCAGCCTGGTATTTGTGTTTCCACATATACCTGAGACATGCTCTAAAGGCCTTCGGACATGGTGACACGTTGCTACATTTCGCCAGCAGAGGGAGACTAGCGAGTCGTCAGGCACCAAATGGAGCCACACCCAGATTATGGTTGCTTATTGTCTAAGTGTCTCTTCTCTGATTTTTCAAAAACACAAAAAGAAAATGAGAAATTCTTGTTAAGAAACACAACTTGTTACAATTGAGGTAAAAGTCACATAACATAAAATTAACCATTTTAAAGTGTACAATTTAGTACATCCACAGTGTTGTGCAACCACCCCTCTATCTAGTTCCAAAACATAAGGAATGCTTAAATTGTATAGAAAGAGAACTCACAAAAGCCCAGCCCTGTTCTATCCTTATTCTCTCACATGCCCGGTTTCGCCTCCACCTGCATCATGTTAGGAATGGTTCCCGCGCATTCCCCAAACAGCCTTCTTCACTATACAATTTCCAGAATCTGATCCAAGGTTAAAATTACATGTTCGAAAACCAAAACCATCTCAATTCTTCCGTTCTTTCTCTAGGAATCGTGCAGTTGCAATAGACAGCCAGTACGGGTGACTGTTTAAAAATTTTATACATATTACTGTGTTTGTCAATTCTCAGCAAAAAAAAAAAAAGAATAAATTAATTTAAATATAGCTACAAAACGGAAATTAACTGCACCAACACTCTTGTGTGAACCATCCAGAATGAAAATTTAAAATATTTCTAGGTTAGAATGAGAGCCAAAATTTTAAGGGCACCACGTCAATTGGTTAGATAACCAATTTGAGAAAAGCAGAACTAAATAGTTAATATAATAAAAGCTGAAGGTTTACAACCTAAATCAACTATTTTATTAAAGAATTTAATCGACTTCATGGGGCCTTCGCCCAGAGAAGAGTAAAAAAATGCCAAACTGGAGCGGCAGGGGGAGGGGAATTGCTGTTGGTGACTGGGAAAACAGGGGGAGGGGAACAGAAGAGCGAATGAGGCCGGATCTGCCCGAACAAAGAGGCAGAAACTGTGTCTCAACAGCCACCAAATCCAGTTCAGGGCGGTTTGAGCCAGTTTCTGAGCTGGATTGAGAACAACAGCCTCGGCTGAGACTTGACTAGGGTGAAATAGAAAATACAAAATGGACTTCGCAGAAAGATGTGGATTTGGCCTGGACTGCAGGAGCCTAAAGCTGTTTCCTGGAGTAGCAAAGTCAGATAAAATATAAGGCCTGGAACCGGAACAGTGGCCTGTCACGGAAGGAAAAATTACAGAACACTGCCGCTGTGCTGTGATCCAGTCCACATTTTCCCTCTTACTGCCCCTAATTGTGGCTGGTAAGGGAAAAGGGCCTCAGGGTATCAGTTTTCAGAGAAAGCTGGCTGCGGTGTTGGGGGAGGGGAGGATTATGTGTCTTCGGTAGTTTAATGTGTGTGTGAGGTGGGGGGGACTGTGTGAGAGGGTCTAAAGGAGAAGGAACAACACTTCACACCCTGCAGTTCACACCACCTTTCCGCACCTTTGCTGCATTATTGCACAACCTCAAAATACACTGCACATAGGTGTTGTGGGAGCGGCCTACGTACAACTGGCACTTGTACGTGTAATTACCAGGCTTCTTCAGCCCTATGCATTGACAATAAATGTACTCAATACTGTCAACATGGTTTTTTCATTCGTGTCCTAAAATACATACAAGCTGTACATACCTTCTCAACCAGGAGACGCAGCAGTATTAGGTAACACTGGAATGATAATCCTGTCCTCGCCTCCCCTCCCCCCAGGGATGCCAGAACCTCCTGACATCTGATCACTCCCACCGTCAAGTGGCTCCTCTGAGTTTCATAGTCTGAGCTGTGGTCTGCAGCTGTTGAGGGTGTGCACATCCTGCGGCCAGGTTCGGCTCAGAACCTTCCAGGACCAGTTACATCTCCTGACCCCCCAAAACCCCAAAAGCTCCATAGGAATTCTAGACAAAGTCAGGGCCTGCTTGGTGGTGGGGGAGGGTGCAGAGCAAATTTGGGGTGGGGAGTGCTAAATTCCCTCTCCCCTGGGTGTCAAAGATGTTTAGAATCTTCCAGAGGCACCAGGTAAGTGCTGGCAGACCCCAGGGCTCCTGACTTGGAAGGCAGCCCCTGGTGTGGGGAGGCCTGTGGGGCCTGTCTGGAACTTGTACAGCTCACCTACACACACTCAATTACAACTGGGTCTGTAGTTTTCAGAAATTCCCTAAAAGACTGGGGGAGGGGAGGGGGAAAAGTCAAGCTGAAAGAGGTCACGGTGCTATTTTAATCTCTTTACCATAGATACATGGGTGGACAATTGGAACACACCCACTTTGCATTATTTATGTGTGACAGTCTATCATAAATGAAGCTTGTTACTGGCATGTTCTATTTGACACTCATTACACAAATAAATAACTTAATGCAGCACTTCTGTATTCCTTCCAACTATTAGAGGTGGGCTGCTATAGACTCTGCTAGAAGGTTTTTTGTTGTTTAGGGTTTTGTTTGTTTTCCAGTAGGGGACAATGTTTCTCCCCACATGAATGTGCAGGAGACTACAGAAGAGAGGACGATAACAGTAGTAATCATAATCAATACTGAGAGCTCGCTATAAGTCAGACAAAGAACCAAGTGTTTTATGTATTAAACTATCTAATTCAATACTCATTGTATTTCTCTGAGTTAGGTATTATTGTCCCCATTTTAGAGATGAGGAAAATGAACCTTGGAAAGATTAGGTATTTTATCTATTTAAGCAGCAGACCAAGATTCTGGCTCCAGAGTCCATGCTTTTAACTTGCTGCTAAACTGCTGCCTCACTGGCAAGTGGTTATAAGCCTTTTTCCAGATCCTACTATGTGTTGGCCTACTTAGGGCTGGGAGGAAGATGGTCATAGTGAGAGGGGAGGAATTGGTTCAGTGATGAGAACATGGTTCCTGCCTTCAACAAGCTTTCAATCTAATCGCTGTTTTTCAAGGACAATTCAGGACTGTCTGACAAGGGATTATTTTTTTCTGCCTCTGGGCCTCAGAGGCCATCTGGGAAATATAGTTTGGAATTTCCCTGCCATTTCCGTGCTGTGCGGGAAGAATATTTGAAGTCAGGACTGCCCTGGTACTAGCAAGCAGCACAGGCAGGCGGGGTGGAAAGGGGCAGGGCAAGGCCGCTGGGGAATGGTAGCCATGGCAACCCAGCTGCCTTCCAGAACAAAGTCTCTAACCAGGAAAACAGCTCCAGAGAGCTTTCTCTTCATAATCTCCACGGCCAGTGGGGCCAGGGAATGCACAAAGGGGATTCTTTCTTTGTAGAGAAATGACTCTTTACAAGGCCCAAACAAAGGAAAACATTTGTTGTATAGGGTCTCTCTTTGTATTTGGCTGGAATAAAATCAACAAAGCACAGTTACTTAGTTCCTCTCCACTATTCACAGGAAATGAACACAGCTTTGTTACGCAAGCTTCCTATTTTTAGATAATATTTGTTTAGTTTTTATTTTATCCCCATTTTACAGATGAGAGATTACTAAGCATGAATGGTCTTCCTCTCCGTAAAACTATAGTTAAAACACCAGGGCATCCTTTCTGAAGGCTTTGTGAAGCTGGCCCTGCCTTTTGCCTATTTTATGATAATCCTACCAGATATGTGAAGAGGGTTCATCTGCACGTGCTCTGGGGCTTGGGAGCTACCAGGGCTCCTTCTACTCTGATCCTCCCACTCTCTGCTTCCAGCCACTTGCCCCTCCCCCGCACCAGCATCCGCAGCCTGAAGGAGGAAGAGGGAGGAGGAAGGGGGAGGAGGGGGAAGAGGAGGAAGAAGGTGAGGGAGGAGGGGAAAGAGGAGGATGAGGAGGAGGGGAAGGGGGAGGGGAGTGGGAGGAGGAGGAATGCGGAAGGCATTCCAGCCCCACCCCTGCAAGTCTCCCTCCAGTGAGTTCAGAAACTCCTGCTAAGAGGGCTAAAAGAAAACAGTGTGCTGAGAGGGTGACTACAACTCCAGGCTTTTAAGTGATCTACAGCCAGACTACACACCCTGTGCATTGAAGATTGTCCCTAGCTATGCTGAGCCAGCGTGTGACCTCCCTAGAGGTGACAACAGGGCCAAGGTTGTCAATCCCCACCCACCAGTCCAAGAACAAAAGCAGTTAGTCTAAGCTTAATAACAATCTTCCATAAATGCCCATACCTATAAATAATGTAATTTTTCAACAGTTACATGAACCAGAGGGAGTAAGAGCTCAGCCACCTCCTGGTAATAAAAGCGCTGCTCCCTGAGTCTGGGGGCCCCTGTGGAGCCTAATCCATTGTAGTATCTCCAAGATCAAAATCAAATTGGCCTACACCTCAATATTAGTCCCTTTGTGCAGTGATAAGGCAGGAAGGAAAATGGGTCACATTCGCCTGGGGGGAATTTATAGGAACTGCCTGAGGGACTTCTTCAAACTACACATTCCACCCCATCCCTAGAGATTCTGTAGGACTACTTAATAATAGAAAGTATCACCCCCTCACCCCAACGAAGTTGAGAAACACTGCCAGTGTCACCCTTATAAGGAGTTAATTAGATGAACTGTTGATATTAAATTAAGGCCTAAATTTGTTGTACTTCCCACAGTTACTCATATTGCAGTAGATACAGTTAGCTTACCCTGCTTTAGGAAGTAAAAACAATGGGTCTTTGTAGTGAATTTTTAAAGATGCTGTTAGCGTATTGGAAATTTCTAGAATGTAGGGACATATAATCCCCCTCCTCAGAGTTTGATCCTTGTCATATTCAATATTCATTCAACATTCATTGAACACTTCCTAACAAGCAGGGACTGTGGTACTATTCACTATGCTAGACCAGTGAATTTTAAAAATCAGTTATTGCAGAGTAGTATGATATATGCTTTATAAAGAAAGGAACAAGAAGCTGTGCTATGGGAGAAGGAGGGACATGAAAAACAATAAGACTGGGTGAAGCAGTGAGATAGCTTGGAAAGAGCTGAAAAATGAGGTGGAGTTAGCTAGAATGAGACTAGAGCTAGGAGTCAGAAAAACTGAGCTTTAGTTCCAGATTTATAATAGGTCAGCTATCAGGCAGACATAAAATAACTCGAAAGATAAAGACAAAGCAGAGAACCTGAAGTCGACTAGGTCAGGAGCTTTGCAGCACTAAAACAGGAGGACTAGCCTAGTAGAATTGACCTGTTTCCTTGGCCAGGAGGCTTCCATGCATCTAATTAGGGTAATAGCCACACCACAGGCATGAAGAATCCTGAGAAAAGCTGAGCTATTGACCTGCAGACTTCAACATCGAAGGGCTTTACAATTTCAACATGTTGTTTACAAATTTAGGATGATTAGCAAAATTACACATTATTGGACCTGATATCATGGCTGCAATTAAATACCTGATGTTGAGTCAATACTGATTTCACTGAAATTTACACGTAGCCTGCTAAGACCTGTTCACAAATGCTAGGCTAAGATCTAGCGCCAGCAATTAAGCTAGGATCTCTCCCTGTGCCATACGCTAACATCTGATATAGTTAACCACTTCAGCTCTTAAAGGATAAGGAGAGAAGAGAGAGATTCCTTAAGAGGTTTGGGGAATTGTCAGGGGTGGAGTATGGAAAGTCTTTTTTCATACTACAGCCCCAATTTCAGGTCCCTCAGCAAGCAGCTTTTGCAAACACTGCTTTTCTCCTGCTGGTCCTCATCAGTGATGTTCACCAAATATTTCTGTGTCTCCAGTTTCTGTCACAACATAAGATTGCATTGCCTGACCTCTTTGAAAGTAGGTATACAGACAGTCCCTAACTTATGATGGTTCAGTTTATGATTTTTTGACTTTACTATGGTGCGAAAGCAGTACACAATCAGTAGAAACCATACTTTTTTGAATTTTGATCTTTTCCTGGGCTAACAATATGTGGTATGATATTCTATCATGGTTCAGGCAGTGGCAGTGAGCCACAGCTCGCAGTCGAGCCACGTGATCATGAGGGTAAACAACCAATACCCTTACAACCATTCTGTACCTATACATTCATTCTGTTTTTCACTTTCAGTACAGTATTCAATAAATTACATGAGATATTCAACACTTTATTATAAAATAGGCTTTGTGTTAGATGATTTTGCCCAACTGTAGGCTAATGTAAGTGTTCTGAGCACGTTTAATGTAGGCTAGGCTAAACTATGATGATTGGTAGGGTAGGTGCATTAAATACATTTTTGACTTACATCATTTTCAACTTGACGATGGGTTTATTGGGACAAAACCCCATTGTAAGTTGAGGGAGATCTGTATTCACTTTCGTCAATAAGATAGGAGAGGAAGTGACATACATCACTTCCAGGAAAATGGTTTAGGACCCAGTAAACAATTTGCCACTTTCCCATCCCACCTTTGAGGAGATCATAGAAGCAAGTGTTGAGCTGAAGCATCTTTCAATTGGGGTGTCCATGCCAAACCACATTAGACAGAAAGTATAAGAGAAAAGTGAACTTCTGGTTTGTTACGCCAATGAGAATTGGTGGATATTTGTTACACAGGAAGATCTAGATATCTTGATTAAGCCACCTCAATATCCATTCTTCTACCCTACTTCCTTCCTAACAGAGGTCACCATTCCCTACACAGTCTTGTATTTCAGAGGACACTGCCTCCAGCTCTAGCTCCAGGAGGTGGATCTGATTCAGCATGAGCCAGTCATGGGTAATATTCTCTTACTAGTCACTGGTTAAGAAATTGGAATGTGACCCAAGTCTGCCCAGTAAAATGTGAAAAGAAGTCTGCTGGGTAGCCTCAGAAAAAAGAGAGACAGAGGGAGAAAGAGAGAGGAATTGCTTCTTTCTTCCTCTTGATGTTGTCATATATAAATATTGCCCTAGTTATCTAGTGCCATGTTGCAATTTACATTTGTTACCTGAACAAACATTTATTATCTCACAGTTTCTGTGAGTCAGGAATTCAGGAGTAGCTTAGCTGGGTGGTTCAGGCTCAGAGTCTTTCATGAGGTTTCAGGCAAGACATCTGCTAGGGCTGCAGTCATCTGAAGGCTTGACCAGGGCTAGAGGGTTTACTTCCAAGATGGCTCCCTCACATGGCTGTTGGCAGAAGGTCTCGGTTCATTGCTGGCTCTTGGTAGGAGGCTTCAGTTACTTGCCATGTGAACCTCTCCATAGGGTTAATTGAGTGTCCTCAAGACATGGTAACTGGCTTTCCCTAGAGTGATCCAAGAGAAAGACTAAGGAG